CGGTTCAAAGAATTTGATATTAGAGATTTTGTAATGGTTCGGATCTGTCCGGAGCGGTTCCCACAAGGGACCGTTAAAAAAAGGTTATATGCTAGAAGCACTGGACCTTTCAAATAACAGCAAAATAAATAATAATGCTTATGTGTCTGACTTTCCTGATGGTTTTAACATTAATCATATGTTAACATCGAAGATCTTGTAGCCTTCGAGGGTCCAGAGTGTAACCCTCCATTTCCACTAAATAATGAGCCTTGTGTGAACCCACCTGGTGAGAACCCCAGCCTAACTCAACTCCCAAAATTGAGTTGATCGTGACGAGCTGCAGCGAGTGGACCCCGACTTACTAGAGTGGTACGAGAGCTCCATAGATGATTACTCAACGGGGTCGAGTTTTCTCCCACCTGGGGAGAATGATGAGCCAGATGAGGACATCGTCAGCAATTTCTACACGTGTACCATCGGAGATGCTGGAGATCGATGGCCTCGATCAAGAGTTTATATTTTGAGTCATTTTATGTAGTAGTTTATTTTATTTTTCAGTTTTTACTGTTTTACCCTTATGGGTGGTCATGTGATATTGTAACCTCGAGGGCATTTATGTCTTTTAGTTTTTGTTTCATTTTGGCCTATTTATAGGAGGCCTCATGCATTGTATTAGGGGATGAATATTGATATGAAATTTCAACTTTGGTTTTGGATCTCTTTGTGAGTTCTAGAGTTCTCTTTGTGAGTTCTCAAGTGAGGAAGCCTAGGAGAGGCTCAATCGAAGTACCCAACAGCCCTCTTTGTGAGAGCTCTTGGTTCATATCATCTTCCACCACTTCTTCCCTTCTCCCCTTGCCATCGGCTCCCACAAACCGGCCACCAACTGACCGGCCAGCTACTGGCCCCCATTCCCCTGCCACCACCTCAAGCTCCCACCGACAGCAAAGCCCTTCCCCTTCCCCTCACCCGACGCCCTCTCCTCCTTCCTCTTGACTGCCGGCCCCATCTTCCTCCAAATTCATTATGATGATTTTAATTGTCATAATGACTCTCTAATTTGATTCTTGCAATAAAGGGAGGAGTTAGTAAATTTGAAATTCAAAAACTTTCCATATTTGTAAAATTCCAAATAAGGAAAGATTTCAAATTTTAATCCAATCCAAGTTTCATTTAGAGGGGAATTATTAATTTCCCTCCTATTTGATCTCAACTTATTTCGAAAGCAATTAGTCTCCCCCTAACCCCTCTCCCTCTCCCTCAATGCCGCCGGCCACTCATTGATAGCTTTGCCATTAATTCCCATCAAAGCTCTCAATCCCTCCTAATTTGAATTCAAAATTTAAATTAAATTCCTCCGAAACCACTTAGATCTGAATTAATTTTAGAATTTCCAAAACTTCCTCTTCCCTCTCTCTATGGCCGGCCACCCATTGCCTCCCTTCCTTAATTAGGAGCTTAAGTGAAGGCTCCAAATTAAGCCCTATTAATTCCCACTTTCCCTCCTAACGTCTAAGTTTCAAATTTCAAAAATTGAAATTATGAGAGCCCAACTCAAATTAAGGAAATCTGAAATTATTTTAAGATTTCCTCTCCTAGCCTAATCCAAGCTCCTCATTCAAGCCGCCCCTTCCCCTTCTCCCTACTTTGGTCGCTCCCCCTCCCTTGCATCCCCACTCTTGGGAAAACTTTTGGTTGCTCATGAAACTTGAAGCCAAGAGAAGAAGACGACCTCCTCTCCCAACCTCATCGTCATCGGTGCATGGCCGATCCTGAGATCGACCACGGATTTTATTCTTCTCGGACCTTGGAGGCTCACTAGTCATCCCGTGGATTACCCGCCTCCGGCTACTTCTCCAACGGACTATACTTTGGGCGCCATTTGTCTCCTAGTGGCATCGCTCGGTTTGCTCTCAATCTTCCTCCGTTAAAGCTCCACCGTTAAGAGCGTGAGTGAGGGACATAAGGTGAAGAGTTCTATTTGTTAACCGTGGATTATTGTTTCTCGCCATAACATTACTCTCTATTTATATGTTGTCAATTTGATATTGTCTCGTTAATCTAGTTGTAACTACATGCCTTACATAATTTCGACTTGATAATTCTGAAACATAACTTGGGTAAGCATTAATTCTATAACTAGCAAAATTTTAATAATCTTATATTCAAATCCCCAAGCAGTTATTGTTTCTATGCATATGTTTCACATCAATTTCAGCTTCAAGTGGTTTTGGAGGGAGATTAATTTGAAAATTCAAATTAATCCAATAATGACTAAGGGCGTTAATTGTGGAGATAATTAGGGGCTGATTCTGTGGAGCTTTTAATTTAATTTAGGGAGAGAGAAAAGAGGAGGGGTGGCCGACCATATGGGGAGGAGAGAGAGGGGTTTGGAGTAAAGCATGTGGGGGCGACAAGGAGTTAAGTAATTCTATTCAAATCTGATTTTTAATTTCAGAATTGATTGAATTTAAAATAACTTCCAAATTTGAATTAGAATGAGAGGGGAGATAGTTTGAATTTCAAATAGGTTGTAACTCCTTTAAATGTCTTTCCTAAACAGACAAAGCCTAATTAGGAAAGCAAATTAAGAAAGGAGAATTTGAAATTTGAAAAGGAAGAGGGCCAATAGGGGGCTGGCGGCAAGGAGGGTGGCCACGAGTGGGGCTTGGACCCGGCGGCTGGCGGCAAGCAGCTGGGAGGGCCGAAGGTGGCTGGACCGGCCAAGGGAGGCCGGCGGTGGAGCGGGTGGGGTGGGAAATTTTGGGGAGGAGGGGAATTTTTGGCTAAGTAGGGGAAGAAGGGATTGGTGTAGGGAAAAGAAATTGATCAAACTACAAACCTTGAACACCACTTCCACAAGAACTCACAAAGAGATCCACAATACTATCTCTTCAAGAACTCACAAAGAGATCTTGGGAAATTTCATGAACTCGCAAAGAGATCAACAAAAGAAAGAAATTTTCATTCATTAATAATCATCCTCATACAATGCATGAGGCCTCCTATAAATAGGCCAAAATGAAACTAAAACTAAAAGACATAAATGCCCTCGGGGCTACAATATCAAATGACCATCCATAAGGGTAAAACAGTAAAACTGAAAAATAAAAATAAACTACTACATAAAATGACTCAAAATATAAACTCCTGATCGTGGCCATCGATCTCTGGTGGTGCACGTGTCGAAATCATTGACGATGTCCTCATCGCTATTCCTACATGAAATTATAACTATCATTTTCTTAGAGACCCAAAATTGCTAGTTACTGACTAATCTCCATGTTTTAACTCATGAACTTCCTCTGTTACTTAAAATAAGTTGAAATCCTTTTTTTTTTCCTCTACAATATTTTCTAACATTGCTTGCATTTCTTGACTTTTCATGCTGAGAATCATGCTTTTTACTTCACAACTCATGTGAATTTATAACTCATGACATAACAATGTTGTTTTCTGTAAAGCACGTCTTATATTGTGTATCATTTACTTTAGAATGATTAATCTTAACATCTATATTCCATTTTTGGTCTTCCAACTCCAATCATTTAAGGATTAATCTTGTTTTTGTCTGGTTGAATATTTTGTTTCTTAACACTGCTGATGACAAGACCATATAGTTTCCTTCATTCAACCTCATTAGGGTGATGTGGATTAGGGTTTTCTTGCACATTATTCATTGATGTTCTGGGACTTCTGCATCACCCGATGGACCTAGAAAAATGCAAGATGTGCCCAATCTATCTTTTCTTAGACGATCTTCAAAATTAAGAGCGAGGAAACCATCTAAAAGTATTGTTGCTGATAACTTATACCTTTAGGCTAGACAGATAACTAGTTGCGGACTTGAAACTACCTGCAGTGTAGGTCGCTGAAGCTTATTGTTTCATCCCTGTCTACCCTTGGAGTTGATGAACATATGAAGAGACCTTGATCATGTAACCAAAATAAATCATCTAGAGTGGTCTACAGAGGAAGGCCACCATATCAAGTTCTGATGGTGGAAAATAGTAACATTCAATGATCAAGGTTTTCTTGAGGTCATGAACATACATATCTAATTGAGCACAAATCTTGACATCAAGCATGCATCTCAAATATTAATTATTTAATTTATATAGAAGAAGAATTAAGTTCCAAAAACAGTCTTAAATCCGACCAACTCTGTATCTGCCACTGCTATTGATGAATGCTACCATCTTCAATAAACTTTCTGATTGCAACCGAGCTAGATATGCATGTGATCATACAAATAGTCCTCTCTAACTTTGAGAACCTTTTGGGAGAGAGGGAGCGCTGATTTGTTACAGGAAACAAACTTCAAGTTATCCAACTTGCCTTGTAGTGCATAGTAAAAAAAAAACCACAGTCCATTTTGGTTGGAGCTATTTGTTTTATTATTTCAGTTATTGTAAGACATATTTGACTTTTTTTTCTTTTTCTTTTGATTTATCTTTTTTATTTTGTTTTACTAAGCTATTGTGATATCTACAGGTTGAATAACTGATTATGAATGTATCTTGTTTATTTTTACTTCCATTGAGTGCTTGATTTCTATGTACTACAGTTTCATTTCCCAGATGATTTTGCATATTTGATTTAATGCTTGCATTCCTGAGTACAAATAATAAAGCAGAGAGTACTTGTATTTAAATGTTCATCCATACCGTACATAACTTTTTATGCATTTCTGCGTGCCTACTTGTATATAGATATCAGAGGAATGCGTACCACAAGCAGTCTACTTTTGATAAGCTAAAACGGATGATTTAACTTTCTTGAAATACTTTAGAATACTTCGTAGTAATCATGCCGGATGAAATATGCCCAACTTGTGGTTTTAAAATACCAGGTAACTAAAATATCTATTTTTTGGCTGATGGATTCAATAGTATGAATGACCAGTTTTTTTGTTACCTCAAAATATTTGGAAATTTTTTGTCTTAATGATGATCAATTTTCATCATGGTCATATAGCTTTGTACATCTTTCATGACTGGTCTATTTCATTTTGGCAGCCTCTTTGTACAACCGACCCAATGCTTGTTTTGGAATACTCTACACTTGTCCTAGAAAAATGTCCAACGGAGACTATGGAGCTTTTTCTCTGGGGAAATGTTCCTGCTGATTTGGTCAATTCATACTTAAAGAAGCACGCACCGAACCTGCAATCTACCTACTTGGAGCTTATGCTTTCAATGAGTGGAAATGGCATCAACACAAACCTGCAGAGTGAACTGGTAAGAAATTTCGTTATCTTCATTTTATACTTTACAAGTTAACTCCAAATTAGTTGAGCAGTTCAATTGGTCAGGTTCAAATATACCTTTCAGAAGTCATAGACTGGTACAAGGATCTGAAAGAGAAGCATAACTGGGACGAGAAGATCTACTCATCCACACGGACAAAGTTGTTGTCATTGTTAGATAGCATGCCTTCTTATAACACAGACGCTCTTTTGAAACGCCTTCCATCTGATGCTCTCTATGAGGAGCGTGCCGTTTTACTTGGCAAGATCAATCAACACCAGCTTGCTTTGTCTCTATATATTCATAAGGTGATTTACTCCTACTCCTTTGAGATTGTAAATCAGGATGTTTTAAAGAGTGTTTTCTAAAATATATTCTGGAGAAAATGGATTTTTTTCATGGAAAAACTCTTAGATCGGTATCTCTGTGGTGTTTAGTATCTTGTGCTCTATCTAAATGTTCTTGTTGGCCTCTATTTTTGAGTAGGACACTTTTAGAAGTTTAAAATTTAGCCTAATATTGGCTTACTATCCTGCATCCTTGCAGCTTTACTTACCTGACCAGGCACTCACATACTGTGATCGTGTCTATGAGATGGGACCGCAACAGCCTTCAAAGTTTAATTCCAACATATATCTTACTCTGCTGCAAATTTACCTTAATCCACAGAGGTCAATCAAAGAATTCGAGCAAAAAACTTACCCAGTACCTCTACAAAAATCTAGCTTTCAAAAAATAACTAAAGGTAAAGGGGGCCGAGTTACAAAAAAGATTGCTGAAATTGAGGGAGCCGAAGATATGCGCATAAGCCCAAGCAGTACTGATAGTGGACGTAGTGATGTGGATGGGGAAGAAGCAAATGAAGAAGGTGGTCCTATAATGTTGAACGAGGCATTGGATTTGTTGAGCCAGAGATGGGACAAGATCAATGGTGCTCAGGCCCTTAAGTTATTACCGAGAGACACAAAGCTTCAGGTATATAATATGCAACCTCATAAATTGTCTGATAAAAGTAATTTCAGATTAGTCCTAAATCTGCGTTTAGCAATTACTTTTAAGCATGGTCCAGTATAAAATTCATATTGAGAAACTAATCTATAGGGATGATTAAAGTATTTAACACATTTTGCCTTTGCAAGTGTAACTTGAGAATGTATAGAGGATATCTTGATTGTATATGTATAGAGGATATCTTGATTGTACATCAAATGGCTCGAAATTTGATGTTTGACACCCAAACTCTTCCAACTTTTGGGTTTATCAAATCAGGATGACGATCAATCTGCATTCCCTCTAGAGCTTCATGCTTTCTTCTAGCAAAATGAGTATCTGAAAGCCAAATTTGTTTATTTTGATGAACTACTGATCCTGCATAAAGGCGTATTGGTTGAATTTTTTTGCTTCTAATTTTGGGCTTCAGATTGGTCAGCTATAATGTTATTTTGTTTTTGACACTCGATACATACTCTAGATCTGAGTTTCCAATGCATGTTTTTTTACTACAACCTCTTAAAATCTTGTTGACTTTTAATTGCAACCTTTTGGCTGTATGGTTACAGTTTTGAATGTAGATGATTTTGCTGAAATTTTACACTGCTGAAACATTTATTGAATAAATGTGCACTTCTCATTGCAGACCGTGAACAACTAACTATAGCTTGGGCATGCCATCATATAATTCGACTGAGGCCCAATAGACAATTAGTTAAACGTGTTGCATCTCTGTGTTTGGGCATATAGTTATCTTGTAATGCATAGGCATGCCAGAATCATTTTGCAGAATTTACATTGAGAGAAAATTCTCTGTGCTGAATTTTTACTTGTTTTTTGTTCATCTTGTACTTTACTGTTGCTAGTCGTAAATTATAGGTTTATGAATTTTGAATCATCAATTATGGAACAATCAAATCCAGGTTTATTTTTTTGGATCAATGTCTTATTTTTGGTTAGTCATTAAAAGAGAAGCATAATAAGTTTAAGTGTTGCAGAGATGAGGATGCTCAGGTGGATGAGTGACTTTACTCTTAGAGACAGGAAATGAAACGAGCATATACGTGAAAAGGTTGAAGTAGTTCCAGTGGAAGATAAGATTAGGAAGAGTCTCCTTAGATGGTTTGGTCACATAAAATGGCGGCCTTCCGATGACCCGGTTAGGAAAGTAGATGCATTAGATTTGACTTATATTAAGAAAGGTAGAGGTAGACCTAAAAAGACTTGGTTAGAAAATATGAGAAATGACCTTTCTTTATTAGATCTAGATGAGAATTTGATTCTTAACAGGTCACAATGGAGAAAAAAGATTCATGTAGCCGACCCCACATAATAGGATAAAGACTTGTTTGTTGGTGTAATGTCTTATTTTTGGTTCACATATCTTGTATGCAGCATCTGAAAGATGAACAGATGTTGGTTTCTTGAGTTCTCCTGATCAATTCACCTTCCTAGGTGCTTAGTCCACCACATAGGTGGCTTGACCGTTGTTAAAATTCTACATCTAAATGATATGGAATTCTTTATTTTTCTTCATCATCATTATCATGAGCCTTGTCCCAGCTTTGTTGTATATGGCTTTAGGAATTCTCTATTCTTTTTTTTTTTCCTAAGTAAAACCTCAAAACAGTCCTTCGGATATTGATAAATGTCCAATTTAGTCTTAAAGGTTTGCATTGCCCCACTTTAGTCTCTCAACTATTAAAAATTATCCAATTTTGTCCCTCTATTAAAATTTTCGTTTAAATTAACGGAAGAAGCTGCAAGCATTTCACTTCTTTGCGGGTATTTTAGTAAAATACTTCTTAACTAATCGTTTTCCTTCCCACTATATTTCATGGAGACAAAACTGGAGACTGAATTGTGTGAGGGAGAGAACCTACAATTGTGAGAAAGGCGTCGTGCTTGGACGTTCTGTGAGCGAGACGCTGTTGCGAGCGAGACGCGAAAGGCCGTGCTGTTGCGAGCGAGATGCGAAAGGCCGTGCTACTGCGATCGACCGCGAGTGATGCGAGAGGCCTTGCTGTTGTGGGTGATGCGAGAGGCTTATCGATCATGATGCGCTTCGACATTTAGTGACGGAGATGACAAGCAATGTGCGACATTCACAAGGAGACGAAGATAGGGTTGCTTATCAATTATTTAGAAAACAATTTAAATTTTGCTTTTAAAAAATAAAATCTTTTCACTAATTATTTACGCTTATTATTTAGTAGATTAAATATATATTATAATTTATTAAATGATAAATAGAGCAATATATGCAATACAATATCATATACACTTGTACCATCTAAAGTATTCTTATGTTTAGCTTTGGAGTTAACTTTAACACATATTAGAGCCTCGGGGATTTAATTGGATCAATTTTTAATAGTTGAGGGACTAAATTGGTGCAATGTGAAACTCTGAGACTAAATTGGACATTTATTAATAGTTGGAGGACCATTTTGAGGTTTTACTCATTTTATTTTGTTTAGTTTGAATAATTAATCCATCACTCTGGTCATCAGAATATATACACGCTTAACTTTCTCTAAATGCATGCGCAAGTCTTACCTATTATTGCAATATCTTGAATTATATAGGTTTTGATTTTAGAAGTAACTAATTTCAAATAATTCTCTTTTGAATTATATTTATATAATTAATCCATTCTTGCAACATTTTTCAAATGCATCATATGATTTTTTTTTTCATTTCTTCGAATAATTTACGTTGTTTATTTTTTGCTAGAATTTGCGTTCTTTCCTTGAGCCTCTCTTAAGGAAGTCTAGTGAAGGCCGCCGAAACTACTGTGTTATCAAGAGTTTGAGATACAGTGAGAATTTACAGGTACATGTTTCTGCCTAAATTGGACTATAATTCGCATAGCTTAATTTAGCATTTTGTTTGATAGAATGATGTTTTTTTTAGCTATTTACGTTCCGTAGCCTTTTTTTTTTTTGCAAAACACTTGATTTAAGATTCGTTTGGGATAGCTTTCTTACTGCTTCCTAAGGTAGGTTTTGAATATAAAAATTTAATTTTTAACTAAAAAATTGTTTTGTAAAATAATAAGAAAGCCGTCCCAAACAAAGCCTTAGTTTATTTCACCTTCCAATTGAGTTAATTCATCATATTCTAATATTAATTTTGTGGAATAGGTAAAAGAGGAGCTATATAAGCATCGCCGCACAGTGGTAAAAATTGATGGTGATAGTACATGTGCGCTTTGCCACAAGAAAATAGGTACTAGTGTTTTTGCCGTTTACCCAAACGGAAAGACTCTTGTGCATTTTGTTTGCTTTAGAGATTCGCAAACTATCAAAACTGTGAGAGGATCAGGTACGCCAAAGCTTAAATAGTAGTTTCTTAACCTAAGTTCAAGTGTTCTGGCCTTAGCGCATTTGTACGTGAGAGCTTTTGCGGTTTTTTATAGACATCACACTGTAATTATTTCATGTTGAATTTGGTTAATCATTTCAAGTCAAATATGTTTTTTTTTTAAATATGTACTGTACCAATCAACCTACCGCTCAATTTTTTCAACCAATCAAAAGGCACATGACAAAATTTTCACTTTTTTGCTTCTCCGTTAGTAAAAGACATTTTCGAAACAATCGTTTCTCACCAAAATTTTACGAAAGTAGTTCAACTACCAAATGAGGCTTCAGGTTTATAACTATTATTCGATTCATTATTGGTAATAGAATTTGGGCAAGTTCTGCTATTGATATTTCCTTGAACCTATGTAGGACGGATATTCCTATTTATGAGGCATGCTGTATCTGACACGTGTCGGATACGCCTCCGCCTCCGATACGGCACAGATACGTGTCGGATACGGCTTTGTCGTGTCCAATTAAAATATTATTTAAATTTGACCGGACATGCGTAAAAAAATGAAAAAGATAGAGCCGCAATTTGTCCTATTCATTTCGGCTATCCGCTCGATGTCCCTATTCATTTATGCGGCTTAAACATTTCGGCGAGCTAGGCTTTTCATTTTCGCACAAGTGTTCGTCTTCTTCGTTATAGTCGAAGGAGCGGTTCGACGACGCGAGCATAGAAGCAGACATGATCATCCTTCGTCGACGAAGAGGCTTGACGACGCGAGCATTAAAGCCGACGGATCATCCTTCGTCGACGGAGCGGTGGCATATCGGCAAGCTAGGTTTTTCATTTCCGTACATGTGTTCGTCTTTTTCATTAAGTGAAGGTTCGTTTTCTTCATTTTCGTTTTCTTTATCGTAGGCTCGGTATCAAAACTCAGGACCGCTCGGTACCAGAACTCGGTACCGCTCATTACTGCTCGGTACAGAGGGGTACCGAATGGTACCAAGCGGCACCGAGAAGCTAGAGAAAGCTTTAAAATAATTCTTACAACAAAATTTGTTCCCGAGGCACACCCCCTTGGACCCCCAGCATATTCGCAACATATCTACACTTTTACTTAAAATTTTTCATGTTTCAAATTCATGTGGTTTAATTTATGTCAATCCTTCGTATGATAATGGGCTCTAGTGGTGTAGGAATTGGGTATGCTGATGGTTCATCAGAGACCGATATTGAAAATAACAAACCTCTGTGGGGTTATGTGACAAAAATAGGTAAAACGACAGAAGGGGGTGGTAATATTACATTCAAATGCAATTATTGTAATCTCACATACAAATGATCATATTATATAGTGAAAGCTTATTTGTTGAAGAATAATATTTATGGAATTAAAGTATGCCTGAAGATAACCTCATCAAAAATGGCTGAATTACAAAGGAAAATCAGTGAAGCTGAGGAAATGAGTGCAAAAGATCTTCCAAAAAATATTCCACTTCCAAGCACCCATGTTTTATATCATTCATCATCTTCTTCAATTAGAAGCGATGACAGTATTGTAAATAAAGGGTTTTTTTGGATGGAGAGATTTGAACCAAAAATAAGACATGTTGTAGATAGTGCTCTGAAGAAAACATTTAAATTACAAATGAGAAAACAACTAAATGAGAAAATGACTTGAATGTTTTACTCAGCTGGGCTTCCTTTTAACCTAGCAAGGAATCCATATTACAAGAATGCATTTACCTTTACATACAATAATAATCTTGCAGGATACGTGCCACTATGATATAATGTCATTAGAATAAAGTTGTTGCAAAGAGAGAGATAATATTGATAAATTGCTCGAGCCTACTAAAGGAGTTTGGAAGGAAAAATGAGTTACTTTGATTTGTGATGGGTGGACAGATCCATAAAGAAGATCACTTATCAATTTCATGGCTGTAACATAGAGTTATCCTATGTTTATCGAAGTTGTAAACTGTGAATGATAGTACAAGGATAAGTTTTTTATTTCTAATTTAATCAAAAAAGTTATTATGATGGTGGGGCCTTCAAATATTATCCATCTCATTACTGATAATACACCTATTTGTAGAGCTGCAGGTTTACTTGTAGAACAAGCTCATCCTCATATTTTTTTGACACCGTGTGTTGTGCATACATTTAATCTTGCCTTGAAGAATATTTGTGCAACTAAGAATACTGAGGCAAACGAAATCACCTACAATGAATGTCATTGGATTACAATGATTGCTGAAGATGTTGCTGTGATTAGGAATTTTATTATGAATCATTCCATGAGACTATCTATGTTTAATGATTTCTCTAATTTGAAGATGCTTGTAGTTTTTGGAACTCGATTTGCCTTAGTTATTGTGATGTTGAGAAGATTCAAAAAATAAATAAAAAATGCTCTTCAAGCTATGGTAATCAGTGACAAATGGTCATGTTATAAGGAAGATGATGTTGGAAAGGCTAGGTATGTAAATGAGAAGCTTTTAGATGATTTATGGTGGGATGAAATTGAATACATCATAAATTTCACAGATCTAATTTATGAAATGTTGAGAGTAGCTGATACAGATAAATCTTATTTACATCTCATTTATGAGATGTGGGATTCAATGCTAGCCAAAGTAAAAGAAATTATATATAGACATGAGAAGAAAGCACTTCATGAAGGCTCAAGCTTCTGAGATATTATTTATGTTATTCTAAAAGATATGTGGAGTAAAAGTAATACACCTTTACATTGTTTGGTTTACTCACTAGATCTTAGGTAAATTTTAATATTTTTTTATTATTAATTTGCGATTTGTTGTTTAGTAATTTCAACATTTTTCATTTTAATATTTTTTGAAGATATTCAATTAAAGAATGACTTCAAGAGGATTATCAAAGAGTTTCTCCATAGAAATATTTAGAAAATTCAAATATGAGAGAGACATGTGTGAAGCATTATTTTTCAAATGAGGAATTGAGAAGAAATGTCAATATTGAGCTTGCTAAAATTTTTGATTATTTAAGAGGACTTTACTGACCAAGAGTCATTGCTTGATAGGTGAAGAATTGATCCGAAAATGTGGTGGATTATACATGGAGCTTCAGCACCTTTACTTCAAATAATCGTCATAAAATTGCTTGGCTAAGTTTCATCTTCATATTGTTGTGAAAGAAATTGGAGCACATACTCGTTCATCCAATCAATGAAGAGAAATAAAATTACTCCATAATGGGCTGAATATTTAGTTTATGTGCATACAAACCTTCGACCTCTCTCAAGGCTTCTCTCAAGGAAAACTCCAACTTATATGAAAGGAGACAATAGAATATGAGATGTTGCTGGAGATGAATTTGAATCTCTTGAGGATATGGGAATATTAGACATTGCTAATCTTTCACTTGATGAGCCTGAATTAGAAGCTATGATATTTATTGAAGATGATATAGAAATTCAAAGACAAATCACTGAAGAAGCTAATCCTATCATTCCTTCTATTGAATGGTTGAAACTTCGTGTGCTGGACAATTTATATTATTTTTTTATTATACTAGACATTTAAATTTTTAATGCTTACTTTTATTTTGATATTGTAAGATACAATGCTACAAATAATATTGTTTTTAATTTTTTTTGTCATTTCAAATATTACGTTTTGATTTCTTTCTTATTTTTTATGTATGATTTATATATTATAACGTCATATCCGCGCCGTATCCGTATCCTGTATTTTTAAGAATTGACGTGTCCCGTGTCGTTTCCGTGTCGACGTATCTGTATCGGGGCAACATAGCCTTGAACCCATGGCTTGTATTTATGTTATCTTAAGTCTTAACTATGACCTTGTCTCGAGATTTCTGTTACTGTAGCTATAAACGCGACTTTCAATTTCGGATATTATACACAACTCATCATAGCCTGTTGGTTGAGAGCTTAGGCTTCCAACTAAGAGGTCTTGGGTTTGAGTCTGTGTTTGCGTTACATGTGAGTTTGACTTAATTGGCTTAAATGTCAAAAAAAAAAAAAAAAAAAAGGGAAAAAAAAAAAAAAAAAAAAAAAAAACGGATACTGTAGTTGTCGTAATCTGTAGTTTGAGACTTGCATGTTTGCTTCTTTTGTCGCTATCTGTTTTATGATTTCCTGCGAGCAGTTGCTTTTTGCGATGTTTATCTGGAGATTAGCAGATCGTTCCTATCTTTTAACCTTCTTATGAAGGTTTCATCAGTTTAAATAATATGTATTTTATTCGCTGATTTATGACTTTCAGTTTTGTAAATATTTCTTTGATGTACGTTTATCGCATGTTTCGCCTTCTTTAAATGGTTCAAATGGTCGTTCTGACGTGTCATGAAAGCAAACCTGCTACCCATTGCATGATGGAAGGTCTAATTGCGGAGATTAAGGCTGTTATTAAGGAAACATGATTGACTTTATGTTTAATCATACAATACAAATGCATTTTAGGAGCTACAGTTAACTTACTGATTAAGCATAATGAAGATATAAAAGCTGTCAGAAATTACAGAATAAACTTAATTCTTGAACTTAACTGTGTTCAGGTCCCAACGGTCAAATATTGGATTAGTAGAATGGAATAGGAAAGGGCTTTGTTTTAGTATAATTAAAAAAAATAAAGTCCTTTCCTCTTTGATTCTACTAATCGAAGAGGAAAGAGGTTTGTTTTAGTAGTGATACGTCATCAAAAAATTAGCTTGATCAGGCACGAATCTCGAGGCAAAAGTTAGTTGGAAAACTCAAAAATTAAATCCGGGAGCATCCGAACTCCGATTTCAGCGGGCTTATAGTCAAACTGAGCGTCTCAGAAATACGAACTCAACGACACCAAGATCGACCCAATCCGAGCCCAAATGAGTCCAAATCAAGGGTTCAAAGCGCTGTTGGAAGGTTCAAACAGCAATTTGAGTTACCAAACGGTCTCTGATTTTTACGAGCTTATACTCGAATCGAACGGCTCGATGAGACGAATCCAACGAGCCCAAGATCGCTGAATTCCGACATCATTAAGGCCTTCAAATGGCCAACGAACGGTGCACGGTCGTAGGATTCAATATCGGCCGTCCATTTGACCACTCCCTATTCGCCCTTGATCTCACACCTATTTACGGACCATGCCACTCCAGAAAATCTATAAATAGAGCCCTCATT